CATGACATTCAATACCTATTTTACACATACCCATTCAATACTCATTACACTGACTCTCTCCTGTTTAAATCCAGACTTAAAACTCATCTGTTCAAAATAGCTTACTCTTTATTCCGCATACTACATTCTGTATCTTGTCTTTGTATTTTATCATCTTCTCTATTTATGTACTGTAAGAAGGATGCTGGTTTGAGCCTCGTCTGGGTCAGTTGGCGTTTCTGTATAGAGTTTGCACATTTTCCCCGTGTTTGCATGAGTTTTCTCCATGTACTCCGGACCGGTTCCCATACAAGTCCAAAGACATGTGGAATAGGGGAATTGGGTAGGCTAAATTGTCCAAAGTGTATGTGTGTAAATGAGTGTGTAAGGGTTTTTCCCAGTGATGGGTTGCAGCTGGAAGGGCATCCGCTGTGTAAAACATGTGCTGGATAAGTTGGCGGTTCATTCCGAAAAGAAAAGGAATGATTATTATTATTATTATTATTATTATTATTATTATTATTATTATCTCTATATCAAACATGGTTTGGTAGAAGAGGGTCTAATTTCTGTGCCAATGAAATCACCACAAAAACCCCTCCTCACCTCTCCTGTTGATTGCTGAAACAAACAGTTCCACCCCAAACTTACACCATTAGTTGAATCAATTTACCTGCAAATGGCTTAATCATTGCATATTTTATAATGATAAACATTTTTAATCAATATGTTCGAACACATCCCCTTTCAATATGTATTATATAAACCTATCACATAAAATATGGAACATCTAAAATATGCAAATACATAAGCAAAAAAATATTATTAATATAAATATTATTATTCTGTACCTTAAATTAGTCAACAATTAATTTAAAGGCGGATGTTTGCAGATGTTCCCAGATAGAGAGGACTAATGTTGATGTATCTGATGGTAAACAGCTTAATATCCAGCCGAGTTCCTAATCAAGTCTAATGAGCTCACACTTAAACTCATAATTTGGTTAATAATGCCATCTTTCCATTCCACTGCATTTGACAATTTATGCGTAATTTGGTTTGCTTCTGGTTGATTGTGGTGGAACGTCTGAATCCGAGACTCGGAGCAAATCATGCATTACAGCAATCAAATCATAAATGCCATTGAATGGCTTGTGCTGGATTTTCATACTTCCATTCAGTTTGCCTCCCGTATAGACTAAACCATGGTGGTGTTTTTTGATACGTTACAATTCTTCCGGTAGCCCAGCCATCATTTTGCACCTTTCAGTTTGGAAGCACATCAGCGTTCGTCCAGTAAATGTTCATTTTCAGTCTTCGATTGTACCATGAAGGTGAAGCTTTCCAGTTCAGCACTTTCTCTGTCACTGTCCTTCAATGGCGTAAAGAAGATCAGCGAAGCGTTGACGTCCGTTTTCTACACTCATCATCACCCTGTAAGGCATTTATACAAATATCTCAGCGATTACCGCAACAATCACCCAGCTAGTCTCTGGAATTAGCATGTGGAGTTAATGGTAACGCTCACCTTGAAATGTCATCTTGACAAGAGCTCAACATGGCCGCCCAGCGAGGCCTGTTCTTCACCCCCCTGCCCCGTGGATTTGTTAAAAGACTGCATGTTTCTCCACTGGAACCGTTTCCTTTAAGAATTCATGTGACTGCTGGGGTTTGCGCGCTGGGTGTTGTTGCAGTTTTCAGAGTAGTTTAGCCACAGCCGGATTGAAAAGCTCTTCTCAGACGTGCCGCTGGCGAGTTTATATCCCACCCCGTCGGAGCGATGCGGTTTCATTGCCTTTAATTTGTTACATTTGCCTGCGCCACACAATGCGGGGGCCAGGGGATGAAATTATGAATATTAAAATAGGAATGTGCGTGCGGTGCTTCAGTGTTAAATCATAAGGGAAGGACTGTCGCAGGCCTTATTAAAAGATAATGTGTGCTGGGGGAGAGGAAACATATCACTTGTCTGCTGGTGGATCCTGCTATGTTGAGCTCACTGCATGTCTGCGGACAAACACTCTGATGATTTGAGCACAAGTCAGAGTGCAGAGTACAGGAGGTGTGGAGAGGAATTCATTCAAACTGAATGAAGGCAAAAGGAAAGATGAGGTGGCAAATATGTGTGTGTGTGTGTGTGTGTGTGTGTGTGTGTGTGTATATATACATATTTATATTTATATATATATATATATATATATATATATATATATATATATATATATATAAACACCTATACACCTTTTCATTCAAACACACACACACACTATGGGCATGCGCATGTCTTTGGACTGTGGGGTAAACAAACCGGAGCACCCGGAGGAAACCCACACGAACATGGGGAGAACATGCAAACCCCACAGAGAAATCAACTGGCCCAGCTGGGATTCGGACCAGTGATCTTCTTGTTGTGAGGCGACAATGCTTACCACAACATTTAACCATTTTACAAGTTTTTTGAAGTTGACACTTTGTGTGTGGTTGCGTATGTGTGTGTCTTAATTTGTTTGTTAAAATATATCAATGCTAGTGATAAGAACATAAATCATTCATTTATAAATCATCATTTATAAATCATAAGTTCATTAATAAATCATGTCATAAATCAATTAAATAAAATAAGTTTTCCAGCTGCAACCCATCTCTGGGAATAACCATACACACTCATACACTACGGATAATTTGGCCTACTTAATTCACCTGTTTCGCATGTCTTTGTACTGTGGGGGAAACCAGAGAACCCGGAGGAAACCCATGCAAACGCAAGGAGAACATGCAAACTTCACACAGAAACGCCAACTGACCCAGCCAAGGCTTGAACCAGCGACCTTCTTGCTGTGAGGCGACAGCACTACCTACTGTGCCACTGCGTCACCCTCAAAGCTAAATCATGCATATTAAGGAAGTAGCATCTCGTTCACAATAGAGTGTGCTGATTGGATCGAACCAAGTATTTCTCATGATTTAATGAACAGATGTCCTGAAAACTCAATGTCACTTTGTACCGGCTGATACAGACAGACAATCTTCATGCCAAAAGAAATAATGTACTCTAAACAAAGCAAAAATAACCTATTTTCACCTGTTAGCTAAAAATATATATGTCCTGCTGGTGTTTTTAGCAACATATATGATTATAGACATAAAAAAAATGTGTTTTGGTGTTTCGTGGCCCTTTAGGTATTAATCATTCTGAAATCTGCAGATTTTTTTTGTTTTAATTCTGAGCAGAAATATATGTTAGCAGATTCTGTCTGGCTCTAACTACGACTAATAAGTGGTGTACAAGCATTGTTCATTGTTTGTTTCTATTAGTAAATGTATAACTAACATTAACTCTGTGTCCTTTAATGTAAAGTGTTACCAAAATTCTTTGTCTAAAGAATTCAGAAAATCCTATAAAAAAAGATTGTATCCACTTTTGAAGCTACTGTATAACTCACTTACTAGGAAAGTGTGAGAGCTGGAGCTGTAAACTACTCTTGTTTTGACTCGACTAATGAAATGAACTATGCAACATCTCCACTCTGACTGCAAAAATTATCCTTAATACAGTCTGAGATTACAGGCCTCTCGTGGTGTCAATGGACTGGCACTCGGACGCCACTCAGCCTGGCAAACCCACTGCGCCCTGATAAAAATAGAGCGAGGACAGAGAAGGGCTAATTATCACAACACTGAGGGATGTACTTGAGATTCACAGTCTAACGTTCAGGGACAAATGTGTCTGAAAACACACCAGCACAGCCAGTGAAGGAAAATTAGCATTCTTGCTTACTTTTCATAGTTTAATAGACATTAGTAGCTTTTTTGGTTCGGTGTGAAAACTATTTTGGTTAATGGCGAACCGGCTTGATAGCCTCAAGTCCCAAGTGCGGCTCCAATAAGATACTTTTGGGGATTTAAGTTTGATTTATTGATGTCATAAAAATTGAGAGACTTTAATACCACAGCCTTTCACCGTTGGAAATTCAGAAACATGTGCCTGTCAGATACGAGTAGCCGCTCCACATTTCATATTTCAGCAAGCCGCTAAAAGGGTGATAGAGATCTGCACATATTTTGTTTTTCTATTGTGATTGATTGTCACGGGGAAGTCAGATGCAGCTTGTAGGTTTTATACTCCTCCTGTAAACACAACAGAAAAGAAGAAACGCTATTATTGAGAGAGCCTATGAGATGTCAATCAGAGGGATGGAGCCGACGTCGATGCGAGGTGGGATTCTCCATTACTGAAATGAGAGCTGATGGACTGTTTGAATGGCTCTCTGGCCCTGAGTTTATCCCGGCTTTGTGCGGCTGATACAGTAATTGCAGGCAGTGATTAGGAAGCTCCCGCAGCACAAAGCACAGGCCGGATTAAACGCACACTCTGTGGCAGATGCAACGCATGCTGTCAATTATAATATACCACTCCAAATGGCACTAAGCGGGATCGTAATAAAGAACCGCAGCTCGGTGATGGACCCATCTTATAAATGAACAATATGCTCAGAGCTTCATTCAGGAGCATTGTCTGGATGGGGATGAAATGACGTTACCTACAATTTGAACAGCAGGTCGTGTCTTTCGCAGAAAGCTTTCCACTACTCTATGTGTTCAAAATGCATGGACAGCCAAAGCTGAAAAGATTGTCCTGTTATTCTGTCTTCTATTAATTTACCCAAAACTACAAGGAAAAGAGGATCTGACTGGTATTATTCACTTAAGGAGCTGACTCACAGCATTACTGGAAGACGCCGAGAGCATTAGTGACCCTGAGATATGACTTGTACTGTTTGTTTGTTGCTGGTATACAATGATGAAGTGTGTTCGTCATTATTCTAGGCATGCTTTGTTTCCTGTCACACCACCATATGGCTTGATCTGTCAGTACTTCTTGACAAAACCAAACTTCATTTGAGTGGACAAGACAAGGCTAAAACTTTATGTTGTCAACCTTCAAATGTTTCTGAAGGTAAAGTATGATAAAGTGAGGAAGGTCACTAACAATGCTTTATCTCTTTCTCTCTCTTCTGCAGATCCTAATGAGTTGAAACGCGCCACAGATCACGCTTTAATCGGTGGAATCGTTGCTGTCGTCGTGTTCGCTACTTTGTGCTTAATTATTGTATTGGGACGCTACCTGGCACGACATAAAGGTGAGATTTTTCTTTAATGACTAACATGGCAGATATGCTGATTTCTGAAGGATTGCTTGAGGCTTAAAATTGAGCAATGGCTGCTGAGCTTTTTTAATTTTAGCGTCTGTTACATACAATTTCTGACATTTATGACAACAATTAATTTAGCATGTCATGATTTGCCAAGTACAATGCGATCCTGGATTAACATCTGTGGTGATCCTTAAACATAATTTTTGTAGGAAAATGTAATCCATATATTTTCCCTCCCCTAAAACCCAACCATAACTGCAAATCATTCCCAAAATCAGAGAGGAATAATAGTTGTATAAGAATCATGTAGAAGTGTACAAACCTGTAAGCTTAATGTCGAGTTTAGACCGTATGATTTTAGCCTTGATTTTGACTCATCGACAGGTTTTGACAAATCACCGACAAATGTCTGAAATCACAGGAAAATCGGTGCTTGTTCACACAAGTAAAAATTACACAGTGTGAACTATCAAAGACGCGATCTGAGAGAATCGCAGATGAGTCGCCGACACCCGTGACATTCTATTTGACGTGCTAAATATCTTGACCTGTCAGCAATTCAAAATCATGCCGTGTGATATGTGTTCTGATTGAAAACATTGCGATTGAGCTACAGCTAATGAAAGAGCAGCATCCACTAGCATGGGTTTCTGCAGGCCAGCGGTAGGTTGGGATAAAGTTAAAAGGCCTACTTTTCTGTCCATTAGGACCCAAGTAATGGAGGAAAAACTAGTGTAAATTTGGCAGGGGCACTTGTGTCTGTTTGTCATCTGAGCAATACCACAACTGGGTTGAAAAAGAAAAAAAAAAGTTGAAGAGAAATTGCTAATACCATTCAAAAGCCAGTTGAGCAAAATAAGTACATTTTCTATACCACTTCTTTCTCATTATTTAGTTAATAAAAAAGATATACTACGTGACCTTGCGTTGTTTTCATGTCACTTCTCACTTGTTTGGTTGTGAGACATTGTTTGCAAACCAAGATAACGTTTCTTCCTGATGTAAAGTCATGTAGTGTAATACCCCCTGTTCCCGATCCATCTTGCAGTGTAAACACAGCAGCAATGGGACGCCAGCCCAGATAGTCATGCAGTGTGAAAACATCTGTGACGTACCTACTAAATCGTACAGTCTGAACTAAGCATATGCTTAACATAAACTGTAAACGTATCCCTGATTGGCTGATTGGAATGTTGTTCCAAGGATCCGCATAGATGTTTATCCAAGAACATGTTCTACTTGGTGTAATCATGTTGGCGATTAGTTTACCTGCCATTGATGCAGTGTTAATTTCGTCAGTGAAAATGGCTTGACATAAACAGAAACTTGTAGCAGGTCTGAATGTGCCTGCTCCGATCGGCTCATCTAATCTAATAAATGAGTAGCGCAATACACACAAAAATTAATGTTGGAGAATGTATCTATTAGACTACATATTATTCTCATCTTTTTTTCAGCAAAAATCATGCACTGTTCATTTATTAAATGAGCACATCAGAGCATGTAAATTTATAGTTTTCAGTCACATTAGTGGTGCAGAGGAACTGTCAAGTTTCTGTTTCTGTCAAGTTATGGGCAACACATATTTTGACAAAATTAACACTGCACTGATTGATTTTTTTCTATAATTTATGACAATCTTTTTGTCACCATTGATGAAATGTTTCATCAAACATTCCCTACTTCTCTATTAAAGACATTTTTTATAATCTCCTGATTTCAAAATTATTAATTATGCTTTACAAAGAGTCACATTTAGACAGCTTCCAACAAAAGTGTTAATCTATTTTACTTGCTTTTAACATCATTGACCTAATACTGCTGTTGATCAGCGCCATCTCCGAGACTAATTATTTAAAAAATGCAGTGTTATGGGAATGGACATCAAATGCTGCAAGCTGCTGTCTTTTACCCTCATCGTCAGATGGTATCTTGTACTTTTGATTTAGAGCCGATTGTCATCGCTAAAGAGATCAAACATATAACCAATTCAAACAAATGTAATTTATTAAAATGTTAGACATGCACGTATCATCCCACTTCATTAACACTATAAATGAAAGAACGGCACAGAATAAAAATAAAGTGCCATTTTAATGACAGAAAAAGACATACTATGGTAAATACACAATACACACAAACTAAACGAAACAAACTTCTCCCAATTAATAGAATCAACATGCAAATAAGCATTATCAATAATGTCTTTTTATTGGTCATATTAGAAAATTACATACTTATTAAATTGCATGCCAGTTATATGGTTTGCTCTTTATAATACATGTGATATATGTGTGTGCACTTAAAGAGTCCGCTGAGCACAGAATAATAGCTGACAGGTTGATAACACTGACACTGTATTTCAACATCTTATCTGATGCCAGACACTGATTTAGGAGAATGTTTTTTCTCTAGCACTTGAACCGCATCTGACAGAATCATAAACAACTTTTAACAAACTTTCAATATCTTTCAAAAAAAAAAGTACATAATAAAAACACTTCGTAACCCACTCAAAACGGTTTTGCCTCTTAGTTTTGGATCCAAAACCACCAGTTGAGAATGCTGTTCTAGCTAATGACAGTTCTAAATGTAAGTTCTAAGCATTCTACCGGAAGAGGCTGGTCACTTTTACACCCTCCATGCCGCAACAAAGAAATAGGTCTAAAGTATGCTAAGAACAGTATATAAAGTGGATAGAATGTCCTAATTCTTTTTATTCATAACAACATATACTTAATAGCATGTGATTTTTGGCACAGGTATTGTTTTACCGTTTATTTATGACAAGACTTCCATGCCATTGACAGAATTTTCTAACTATGATTGTGCAGCTCTTTCACCCATGAACAGAATTTAACTTGTGACTTTATGACACAAAAAGCTTTTCCACCATGTTTTCCTGTTATACAGTACAGCATGGGTCTCAAACTCGATTCCTGGAGGGCCCCAGCTCAGCACAGTTTTGCACCAACCTTAATCAAATACAGGTCACACTTTACAATAAGGTTCATTAGTTAATCCATTTACTAATATGAACTTATGATAAACAACACTTGTACAGCATTTATTAATCATAATTGAACATTTACTAATCCATTATTAACTTCCAAGTCCATGCTTGTTAATATTAGTTAATTTACTGTGAGTTAACATGAACTAACAATGAACAACTGTATTTTGATTAACGTTTACTGACATGAATACTGTAGTAAATGTATTGTTCATTGTTTGTTCATGTTAGTAAATGCATTAATTAACATTAACTAATGAACCTAATTGTAAAGTGTGACCCAAATACAGCTGATCCAACTAATCAAGGTGTTCAAGACTACTAGTGTCTTGTAGTTTTGAACACGTTGTTTAATTGGAACACCTTGATTATAATTATGCATCTTCTGAAATATCTCCAGATCTAAAAATCAAGCAGCAGATGAATTATTTATATGTTCACCGTTCACCAGCCTATAACTATGAAAATGAATAAAATGTCAAGCATACACTATGAGTTAGACGATGCTTCAGACACATGATGGCCACAATGGTGGGGAAAGAGTTAAAAGGCATACTACTACTTTCTATAATAGTAATTTTATTTGTTATCAATAGTACTTTTTTCTTACAGTAGTAATTTACTTGGCATTTTGAAGTCACCATCATTTTGCTGATGTGTGCCGTGTGTTTTTCCAGGCACATACTTGACAAATGAAGCCAAAGGAGCGGATGACGCCCCGGACGCAGACACAGCCATCATCAATGCTGACGGCAACCACGCACACGCAGAAGAGAAGAAAGAGTATTTCATTTAGACTGCAAGTGGCACTCCGCTCCTCTCTCTCTCTCTCTCTTTGTCCTCTCGTTCCTTCCCTCCTTCCCTGCACCGTGTAGGAACTTCTTCAGAAAGCAGCGGAAGCTTCTTTTCACATTTCTTATCTGTTCATTTTTTTTCATACTGGTTTGGTTTTCTTTAGCCTTTTTCAATAACAGCTCACCTGCTACTTTTTATGAGCAACTTATTTGCTGAAGATGTCACCTTTTGTAATCATTATATAGCTGTAAAATACCCCAAAGCAGTACAAAAATGTCTCCAAATATGAAAACAAAAAAAAGTCCGCAGCCATTCTTCAGTAAGGACTCGCCCTTCATCCTCTCACAGTGCCTAAATATACAGACGTCCGCTGAATTTCAGTCAATGCCTTCATGTTTTCTGTCAGGCCTCTCTGATTGGTTGCTTGCTTTTTATCTTCAGCGTTATGATTTATGGGAAATGTTTTGTGCTCTGTTATTTTTTAATAATTTCTACTTTTATTTTGTTTGTGATTCATGCTGAATCCATTAATTGTGATGTTTCTCCCCAAAAAAATGATGTACAGTAGTAAAAATATACTCAGACTTGAAGTGAGGGAGGTTCCCTTTTTATTCTACAGATTTTTAGGTGTTAATAATGTTATCGGTATGTAGAAATGCTCCATTTTCCAAATTACCATTACATGATGTGAAACCGACAGCTCACACTATGGCTAAAATCAGTATTTTGTACTTGAACTGTAGATATTGATAAACGAATAGCTCCACAGAAGGTCTCAGTGTGTTCCACCCAAAAAAAAAAAAAAAAAATCACCTTGTATTATTGAATTTGGTCAAGCGGTTAGGTTAACCAACTTCGGCCACCGAAAAAACCATAGTGAATTTAGTAAATTAGCAACCAGGCGAAGAAAGAGCAAGCCCTGTTGTGTGTTTGTGTAGTTTGATGATGCCTCGCCACTGTTTGGACAGTTTTGTGTATCTCTGCACTGATCAGCCCCCCTAAAGACCTCCCCATACACAGCAGATTCACGGATGAGGTGGTAACCATCCAATATGTCATCCTTTCAGCTGTTTACACAACCGCTGTGCCCAACACAAGAAATCTCATAACACAGAAGGCGATAACAAAAAGTAGTGTGCAACTATTTCAGTGCTCTTAAACTTTCACATCACTGCTCAGATTGATATCGGTCCATGAAAGATCTCAAACAACCTTTTATGCAAACCTGAACATTTCACAAACATTGAGAGAATGCTGCCAATGCACACAATGTGTCACTCACTTGCTCATCCCACATATTAGTCCAAACAAATAAGCACAAAATGACTCACATCAATTCAAAAATGCAGCGATCACGATGTACAAATAGCTAACTTTGATTTTCATAACCCAAACTGGACATCAGATTAACTGAAGTTTGCGTTGATGGTGTTCATGAAGTTATGGTCTCTTTTCTGTTCTTTTGTTGATTTCTACAATGAATAGACAACCTTGCTAAGGCTGTATAATATATCTGCTAAATGTGGTAACTAGTGAAAATTGTTGTTAGACTTTGGGGATCCCTAATTCCATGAAGTTTGTATATTAGCTAATCTAAATATTGGTGGGGGAAATTGTTTTTTATTATTATTTTTTATCATCTTACCTGACAATAAAAGATTCTTGACAACTTCATAACCTTTGCTTTAGCTCAAGGCATGTATATACTGTATAAGTATCACACATTTTGAAGAAAAAAAAATTGAAGTTTTTTGTTTTTTGTTAAACTTACAGTGTAAATTATTTAATATTGCTTAACTGAAAATCACTCAATTAGTACAACAGCAGTGGGATGCTTGTTGAAATGGCAAAGCTATGTATTTGTTGAATGAGAGATTTAGGGTATGTTTATATGACATTTTCAAGTAATTCAAATGGAAAACTTGTTTTGGTTGTTCATTTACACAACAGTGGCATACTGAAGGGCCTGAAAATGAAAACTTTTTCGCTAAGGTTTTTAAAAATCATCACCTCTATGTAAAATTTCAATGTGGTGATGCCAATGGCCAATGAACATTTCCTGCTTGTTGTCAAACTATTTTATATCTGTAACAAGAGACGATTCAATCATAACTTGATGTTATAACAACTATCATAACATTAATTATCAATATGTGGCTCTTTTTGGACCCTCAAACCGCCTTTCCACTGCACACTGCATTTGTAAATGACTGTTGGATTACGCCCCCTTGTGGCAGTCACACCGAATTTTCAGTTTTGTCGTGCATCATGGGAGAGAAACTGTTCTCGCGGTGTCCGAAATAAAGGCATGCAAGAGCAAGGGCCTTTACTCTTCGTGCATTCACCATGGCTGAAAGAATACAATGCAAGAGACTCACAGACTGCTAAAACATTTGAAGGGAATGTAGAGACAATATAAAAAAATTATATTTTTTATTACTCATTTATGAATATAAATTTTTTTTTAATATAGACTTTTTTTTTGATTAAAGAATTAACGAAAATAAAATTTATTTCTTATCTCGAGCAGACGGTCTTGTCGCAGAAGTTCAAATATACTTCAACATATCCGCAGCTCAAATCGGATCCAAATTTTTTTGTATATGAAGATGATTGGAACTCGACGCAACTCTTGCACTACTGTCCATTGGAAATAAATTACTTCCAATCTGTCGCTTGTCGTGTGCAGTGGAAAAACGGCTTCAGAAGCTATGGAAATTTAAAATGTAAAACGGAAAATACGACAGGACCATTGTTATTGTTTACATCCCTCAGAATGGTCTATACTACAAAAATTACAAAAAAAAAAAAAACTTTTTTGTGGTAAAAAGGCGACACCATGCGCACGTGTGTTATATGTAGTCTATAAATATGTACTTACGAACCAAAATAACAATTGTGGACTTCAGGACCATCTTTGTGCATCAGTGTAATGTTTCTTCACAAAGTGACATTGCCACCTACTGGCCTGGCATACATATTACTATCATTTTAACTATAGGGATGTCCCAATCGGGTTTTTTTGCCCTTGAGTCCAAGTCTTAATAATTTGATTTTGAGTGTCTACTGATACTGTGACGAAACAGATCCAGGATGTTCCTTATTTTTTATTTAATTTATTTTAACATTCAACAACTCTGTTAACAAACAGAGCACTTCTGTGAGGTAGCTTGAACAATCAAGTAATAAGTAACATAAATTCTTTACAAATAGCACCTCAACTTAAAATACCTGGCAGGCAATCCCAAGTTTACATATCTCAAGTTTAAATATCTCATCAACAACTTTTATAATACCTTCAGACTGCAGACATATTCACAATTTTTGCTTCAAGCTGTTTCTGTGTTCTACTTTGCCAGCATTATAGCGTCTCTGCAACAAAGTGATGTCATGCCAAATGCATTGCTGTTTCTGTGTGAAGTCAAGAAAGAGGTCTAACTCTGTGCCACATATACATATATATAAGAGTATATATACATATATATGATCGAAAGGTAACGTCCGATTCCAATCGAGTCTGAAACTACGTGATCGGGCCCGATTTCTGATGACATGATTGGATCTGGGCATCCCTAATTTTAACCACATCATCATCTGTGCTAAAAACTTTCCAAAACCACACAGTCAGATAAACATGCCCTAAAACACTTTTACCTGCTGTTTGTTTCCTGTAAATGATGACTATTACTGTTCATAATTTGCTACCAGCATTGCTTCCACAATCTGGCTCTGTTCTCATATAAGAAATACATCACACATGCTTAAAAAAAACAATAAATGGTCAAGCTTTAAATTTGTATTGCTATATCTCAAACAGATTGTTTCATTTCAGTCACCAAAATAACATAGCATATCATTTACATAAACAATATGCTACTCAAGTCTAATTGTCTCGTCACATGTATCCTTAATATGTGTGAAATATTTAATAGCTAGTCACTTCTTACTTCTTAAGGCCAAACCGTTTATCAGTGCACAAAAAAAAAAAAAAAATCAGTTTTAGCCTTACGAAATGAAACGTGCTGACATCAAGCCACGATTACTGTTAATTTCTATTCTCTATCCCTGCTACTTTCCCTCTTTCTGTGGATTGGCTCGATGCCGTCTGTCAGGCATAATCACTGCTAAGTTTTTTGGTATTTGTCTGTCTTATTGTGACACTGACCTCATGCTGCCTTCACGGTCAGTAAATCACATGCTATTATGAGGAAACTACATCCGCTTGCTCAGATTTTGACCCGTACTCGACGTTTCAAAGAACAAATAAATCAGCTTCTTTAATCACCATAATTGCCTTTGTGTTTGTAGTGGGAGCTTCATGCTGTTTCGTATGGGTTCTTGTCACAAAAATGCCTGCTTGTTTTATTTCCTTCAAACTCGCCTTTTAAATGCCGCATGTTGTATCATCACCCTATTCACTTTATTTTAATGCACCACCAAAAAGTGATTGCAGAGTATTTTATGAAGGGTTCATAGTTAAAATGACAAATCTTAGGATTTATTCAGTCAGACAGTGTTGCGTTTTACAAATTAACATCTTACAATTAGGTTAATATAAGTTTGAACCCAGCAAGCAAATGTCTGATATGAAATGACTAATAATCGTCTAAACATAGTCATCTTGGCTAAAACAAGGCTTAATTTGGGCCGTCAGTGAAAATCTAATAGATGTCTAAGAATAGGCCAAAACTAGACTAGTCATCAAATAAACAGAAATGAAAGACTACACATATAACGTCTGTCTAATCTGCCTATTTGACGACTAGTCTAGTTTTGGTCTATTTTTTTATGTCTATTATATTTTTACTGACAGCGCAAATTTAGCCTTGTTTTAGCCAAGCTGTCTACATTTTAATGTCTATTAGACGTCTATTAAACCCATAATTGTTTGCTGGAAAGCTTTGTATCTTATTTCTCAAGTTGTTTATTATAAAAATGAAAATGCTGAAGAAAATCTGTGATTGTACATTCTGTTGTACAAAAGTAGTCTTTATTTCTGACCCTGTTTCTTCAATCTAAACTGAACACTAGTGACTAGTGAGTAGACGAGTTTACCTATTCAGTGTGCTACAGTTTAATATTCATCAACCTATTTAGTCGCATTTAGCTTACACTTTAAAAAACATTAATAAAATCTCAAGTCTGTATTACTAATGTGCTTTGAACTTATTGAATTCGGAACAATTTAACCCCAGTTTGTACACTGCTAAAGCATTATATGATCAATTAGTCCCGACAGCATATGTTTATAGATCATTGTAACTTACTAAACTAAGATAATCATGTTCCAACTTAATTTTATAAGTTATGCAAGCTGTATTAAGTCAGTTTAACAATATAAGTTCAATGGACTCATGAGGTTAATTTGATTCAGCTTAAATATTTAAGGCCACCAGGATTTGTTTTTACAGTGTACAATGCAAAATTTTGGTCAGCAACAGTATTTCATTCGTGCATTAGTGACAGAAACTGTTCCAAAGGATCACACAGAGGTTATGTAACAGTTAGGACGCTATCTATTAAGACAGCGTGGTAGGTTTTGGAACAAATCCCTTATTTGGTTTGTTAAAAACATTTTATGACAACAATTGTTGTTCAACTGTTTCGTCACCGTTTTGGATACCGACTGAACATTATATTCTGAAAATAGGATCCATACCCAGCAAACAATTTTGTGTTTAATAAATGTCTAATAGACATAGAAAAGAAGACAGCTTGGCTAAAACAAGGCTAAACCTGGGCTGTTAGTGAAAATCCAATAGACATCTAAGGACAGCCCCAAACTAGACTAGTCATCAAATAAGCAGATTAGCAGACTTTGTGTAGTCATTCATTAATGTTTGTTTTATGACTAGTCTAGTTCTGGCCTATTCTTAGACATCTATTAGATTTTCACTGACAGCCCAATTTCAGCACAGTTTAGCCTTGTTAAAGTCAAGACAACTAAGTTTAGACGTCTGTTAGACATCTATTAGACCTCTTTTTTTTTTTTAAATGTTTGCTGGGATATGTCCACATAAAACACCTGCTGGCTTGTTTCTCCTCCTAATAGATTATAACATACAGACTGTACCAAATAGCAGACAGATTCCACCAAGCGTTTTTTTGTTTTTAAAAGATGTCTAATAGATGTCTAATAGACGTCTGAACATATCATTTAGGCTAAAACATGGCTAAATTTTGGCTGTCAGTGAAAATCTAATCTAAGACGTCTACGAATAGGCCAGAACTAGACTAGTCATCAGATAAACACAAAGGAATGACTACACATGTAAAGTCTGTCTAATTTATCTATTTGACGACTAGTCTAGTTTTGGGCTATTTTTAGATTCAGATTTTAGATTTAGATTCTATTTTCACTGAAGCCCAAATTAAGCCTTGTTTTAGCAGAGCTGTCTATGTTTAGATGTCAATTAGACGTCTATTAAACACAAAATTGTTTGCTGGGATTATATCAAAAAGGCAGAAAACAGACAGCGTATTTAGGAAGCATTTAAAATGCACCATTTATTACCCTAGTGATATGCATTCACTGTCATTCTTTTCATTTAGTCAAAAATACTTGTGTATGAAAAACACATGTAAAAAAAGAGACTTTTTTACAAATAGTCCAGTTCATATTATAGAAAAAGAAAAACTGTAACACTGTAAAGCAAAAACTGTTCATTTATGTCATCATTTGCATCTCAGGTATAGATAAAGTGATTTTGTTTTCAATGTTAACACCTGCAGGTACCTAATACCAATTTGCATATTCATGCACCTAAAACACCGTGATGACAATAATATCTCAGTGTGTGTGTGTTTTTTTTATGCTCTTACTTTTCATGCCATCATGTGTATATATACGTATGTTGCTTCACATATCTCCAATTCATATCACACAAGCTTTATATTCTTTAAACATATCCACAATAAAAAGTAAAGCTGTCCAGTTGCTGTAACGATCCGTTCAGAAATTTAGACCAGAAAAAGATGCACACTATTTTAGCTTGTAATGTGTTACACCGAGAGGGCAGTTGTCATAGTGAGGACACGCACATGTAGGTCAAGATCAAATAGTTTGAAGGAAATGCTGTTCTCACAGTTTTTCGCATGACCTTGCTAGAATTAGCACACCTGCACTGATGACACAATGCGCACTGTTCCAGAAACGTCTGTAGATGAACTGTAAACAAATGCTCCGTAAATTTCACCATGTTCTCTCATGTTGAAAACTCCTCTGCGTGCCAGTGAAGCAGATGTAGTGGGTAGCAACTGTGCACTGGTAGATCGAGTACCTGGTTTTTAAGTGAAACGGCCTCCCTAGCTCTCGAAATGATAGTGGCTTCAGAACACGAAGGGTTTGTGCTTCTTGTAGCAAGCTGAAATGAAAACGCTTCATTTGGTTTCTTTTCTCTTTTTAATGTGTTTCTTGGTGTATTCATTTGGTTCGAAATTCAATTTTAAGCCTAATTCACATGTATGGAATGAAATTGTTAAATAAATAAATGCCAAAATTCCCTGTCTGTCCTTCTTGTTGTCTTAATACAATTCATATGATTGAGTTTTCTACAGCTACCTAGAACACTGTAGAATTAGGCATCACACAAAACTACCTCAGCACCCAAACAGCTGTCTGTTATAACCAAACTAACAATGACCTGCGTAACAATGGCAAGCCATCACCTATCAGAACCCTAGCAACCACCAAGACACGTTATCAACAAGCCTCAATTTAGAACACATGAAGACCTCCCTAAAACAAGCCAAAAAGCTCCAAAGCAGCTACCCAGAGCACATTAGCAACAAATGATCATTAAGAACAGTGTTTCTCAACCATGTTCCTGGAGGACCACCAGCTCTTTACATTTTCCATGGCTGTTTCTTAATATGCGTTGTTCAGCGTTCTTGCATCCTAGTGTTCTCATGTAACGTCATAATCTGCTACCAAAATTCAGTTCCAAAACTTAATACTGCAAGAAAAGAGGACGTGTGAAATTTCCCGGATGTGTTTACACATTACTGTCTAGATAGTTTCTGTCCTATAGTTATGCTAAAAAGGCAATAATGATCCAACATTCCTGACCATCATCACCAATAAAGCCCAGAAAAACAGGCCATCAGTATATTGTAAATCGATAGGATAAAATATTCCTTCCCAGTTATCAAAGAAATAATTAATTGAATTCATTATAGTTTTGTAACTTTTAAATTGTTTTAAATTCAAAATAGCAATACCTGCCAACACTCCCATTTTTCACTAGAGTCTCCCATATTTTTTTCCAAACCTTTTAACAAAAACTTTGTCTTTTCCCACGGCTGTTGCTATTTCTACCCAAGAATTATTGATCAGTAGGTTTTCTCTATGATCATGGATCATAAAGATGTCTGTACAGTCGTACTGTTTCAGACAAAAACTCTACAAAGTGTTTCATATTTAACTCAAATCAAACGCAGAGTACCGTGCACTGTTAATAGGAATAGAGTTTGAGACCTATGGCCTAGAAACAAGGGTCCATTTAGAACAGTGTTTCTCAACCATGTTCCTGGAGGACCACCAGCTCTGCACATTTACCATGTCTCCTTAATCATACACACCTGATTCAGATCATTAGCTCATTAGTAGAGACTGATAGACCTATAATGGGTGAGACAGGTGGGCCCCACACAGGCCATCCCAGGTGGGGCACACGCGGGCCAGCCCAGGTGGGCCCCATGCGGGCCAGGGCCAACCCAAATGTGATTTGGAAGTTAATTAAAAATGGCACTGTTCTTTTTGAAGTTAAAATAAAGAAAACTGCTGTACTTAAATGTAAAATATTATTAAGTAGAATATTCATCAAAACCTGCAAAAGTTTCTTGGACGTCATAAAAATAGGTTATACTATATGTCTTAATATTCATATATAACTCTGTTTGATACATTTTGAAATATATTGCATGTGTATTTGTCTTATTTGTATATCTTTTAAATCTAAATGTTAACTTCTATTTTAAATATATGAATTGGATTTACAAATTTAAATAAGAAATTAGATCTGCTTACTGCTTGTTAGAGTAGACTATGTGTGTCGAAGAAGCAAGTGATTAAACTATACCTGTCAACATTGGGATATAAAAATATGAGATATGACCCCAACAACCATTACAAGTATGGGAAGGAAAATAACCTCAAATGATAGAATACATAACAAACATTCAAACATTCAAAAAATGAAAATAAAATAAAAAGTTTAACCCAGTAAAATCAATTTCCTGATCACATTGTTGTTAACGTACGCATCAAAGAGTTAAAAGTGTGTTCATTTTTTTTTACTTAAATTATTTAGTGATTCCTCCATGTATCACTAAAAGGAAGTCTGCGTACCACTTGTGGTACATGTACCACAGTTTGAGAACCACTGCTATAATGTTTTTCCTAGCAATAAGCAACTACACAGAATTATCTATCAGCAAACTAGCATGACCAAAAACACATTAGCAACAGACATCCATTTAGAATGCCCTAATATCCTGCCTAGCAACACTCTTGAAATGTGTACTTTTAGAACATCCTAATGTCCTCCTTTGCAACAAGCAATACCGAACCACCTATTTGCACCCTAGAAACCACCAGAACACATCAGCAACAAGAAATGAGTCAAAACACCCAAGCAACCACCAAGAAAGCATTACCATGAGCAACCACTTACACCAGCCTATCAACAACCCTCCAGAATGGCGAATGCTTTAAGCGTGTATTACTGCCCACTCTCTGCTTGGGTCTGTGTGAGCTGCTGAAGCTCTGGAATATAATCTCATGAAGACAGATCCGCTCTCTGAGAGACAAAGACAGCGGAAGCACCTGAGGGGAAGTGAGACAGTAGCCCTGAGGCCAGGAAGGCACCATCATTGTGAAAACACCACAGGGGACGAGTCTTCACTCCCACACGCACTCACACTGAGGTCAACAACACCAGCAAAACCAGCGCTGCCATTTACTAACTGCCTAAGAGTTTGGGTCTGTAACGACTAGGTGCATCAAGACTGCACACAACAGCGCCACAATATATGCAGCTGAGTATAGAAACATTAAGGTGCTTCTTTTGTTTTCTTCAATGTAATCTGTTTTGCTAGAACAACCGCAAAGTCATACACTGTTTATGATGAAAAATCACCAACAATGACTATGTTTACATGGACATCTGTAATCAAATTATGTGACTTAATCTGAATAAGACAATAATATGATAAAGGTGTTTACATGAGTCGCTTTTTGAATGTCCCGTTTTACATGTTTTAGCACATAATTTGATTAACGCCATTGCATCTCCACGCTATCCACATTTCCTCCAGTGTTATGTGTTTTTTTGTGTTTCATTTCTAATTTGTCGACTTTACTGCAGTTTGGCACTTTCACTTTCATTCAGGAACATTTTATGCATGCCCCTGTGAAAAACGAGATGTTGGATGCGGGTATGAACTGCTGGAAGAGTGTTGTTTAAATAGAATTTGATCTCGCACATAAACAACTTCTGAGTGGATTTATTAAAGACAAAATATGTCTTTAATATGACAAAACTTAAGTATTTTTTTCAATGTGAGTCAGCATTTTTATTACAAAACCAAATCCAGTAAACATCTGGAATTTACCTTTGTATTCTATTGGCAAAATTTCACCTGCATGAATCAAAATTTGCCAAATTATTTCACATGTTTTTCACAAAATTTTTATTTTCTGAAATTCATAAAGAAAAATCAGATTTAATTGTATTGTGCAAAGTATCTATAAAGCTTTTGTACATGTAATTCATTCATTTTCTTTTCAGCTTAGTCCCTTTATTAATCTGGGGTCACCACAGCGGAATGAGCCATCAACTTATCCAACATTTCATGAAGCAGATGGCCTTCCAGCTGCAACCCATCCCTAAGAAACACCCATACACACTCATTTACACACAAACACAACAAACAATTTAGTTTACCCAATTCATCTGTACTGCATATCTTTGGATGCAGACTCCACACAGAAATGCCAACTGACCCAGCCGAAGCTCGAACCAGTGACTGAAGGTCAAATTATCAACAGAAAGATTGCAGTATCTCATTTCACACAGGATGCATTCTGTGTTCTTGCAGTCTTTTTTTGTTCATTCTTCTGGGGTAAATTTGCAAGAGCGTTCTCCATGACTGTGTTCTTGGTCTTAAGAAAGAACCCTTATGTCTGTATTACACAACCAGAAGTTCTTATCTTCCAGATATTTACAATCAATCTTAAATGGACAGTTCACCAAAAAAAAAAAAAAAAAAAAAATTGGTCACCATTTACTCACACTTAACGTGGGAAAAAGGAATTTTATTTTTATTACTTTTGTGTCTTTATTTTTTATTAGAAAAATATTTATACTAACAACAGATTAATTAATCTTTTTCTTTTGTATGATACCATTTATTGACCAGGCATACTTTTTTTTTTTTTTTTTGCATACTTTTTAGAAGGAACTGCTGACAAAAGGGAAATAGGAAAATAAGAATAAATATAGTGCAGGGGCCCTTGTTCCGAACTGCTGTCTAATACAAAGTCTAGACATGTCACAAGGAGCATGATGCTTGTAGAAGTTGTGAAATATATTAAAGATGCACTTAGTTGTTCAGTTCTGGTATGCAGAGAAGGGTTGCAGAAAAGAGGAAGTATATCTGGGGGCAACACTCAAAGGACTACAGAATGATTGATAAGTGACGTCACACCAAAACTCCACCTGTTAGTATCAGTTGTGTATATATGCTGGAGTCAGGGAACTGTATGTTAGTTGCGAACCTCTTGAATGTAATTCTTGTATTGCATTGGGATAACGTAACTTAGAGCTCTGTCATTGAATTATTCATTTGTATCTAATAAATTACTAATATTTTTGGCATTGAAGAAAATCCTAGACATTTTTTTTTATTGAACATTCATGGAATTTGCTTGATATCCCAACATTAACTAGTTCCAAACTAGTTTGAGTTCTTTCCTCTGTTGATACACAAAAGATGCTACTGAAAACCAGTAACGATTGACTTCAACCATGGATGTCAATGGTTACCGGTTTTGAACATTCTTCAGAATATTAAGTTTTTTGTTAAACAGAAGGAAGAAAATCATAAAGATTTGAAATAACTTGAGGGTCGCTAATTTTTTTGAGTGATCTATCTCTTTAAAATTAGTAGATTAGGCCTGATTTAAAGCTGTAAAACACACTTGTAAAAGCACAAATAAAAGCTTCACTTTTTTATTTTAAACTCAAGAAAGTTTATTTGACAAACTGAGTCATCATCGATCAATGTTCTCTGTGGTAAATCAACATGCCACAGGTGCCGCTGATATAGTTTAACTTGTTTTGAGCGCAGACGATTACTTTAATGATGACTTATCTGAATGAGAATCAACTACTTTTTAATTAGGCGAGCAGAATGAGCTTGGTTACTTAAAATAATTGTCGCAGGCTAAGTAATCATTATGCTCCTTAAAATCGACAAAGCGGAATTAAACTAAACTAAA